CTTCTCCGCCGCCTTCTCCGCCTCCTTCTCCGCCTCCTTCTCCGCCTCCTTCTCCGCCTCCTTCTCCGCCTCCTTCTCCGCCTTCTCTGCCTTGGTCGGGTGCCGGCGCGCTGGCCGCCCGGCTCTGCGCGTCCGCGTCGACGACGGCGGCGACGGCGTCGGCGACGGTGCGCTCTTCGCTGACGACGGTCACCTGCCAGCCCCACGCCGCCGCTTGCACCGCTATGGCGCCGCAGCTGATGTCGTTGACGATCAGCAGCCTGCGGCCGCGCCCTCGCTCGCCGTCGGCTGCGGCGGCGAGGGCGCGCAGGTACGCGGCGGGCAGCGCCGTGTCGGCCGCCATCGCGAGCTGCGGCTGCGGGTCATCGAGCACCTCGTGGTATTCGACCCCATCGACGGTGATCTTGGGCTTGGCGCTCGTCTGCCCGTTCAGCCGCGCGATCTGCAGCTTGGGCGCGCCCGTCGCACGCGGCACTGGCTGCGGCAGCCGCATCGCGAAGAAGCCCCACGCCGCCGCCCGCGCGAATCCGTTTCGGCCGCCGTCGGGGAAAGAGGCGCCGAAGGCCTCGTAGCCGTCGAGCGAGTTTGAGAGGCCGACTGCGCCGTCGCCGCGGCCCCATAGAGTCACGTCCCACTCCAGCAAGCCTGAGGCGTCGTCGGCAGAGGAGCTGTCATTCGGCCGGCAGTCAGAGGGGCTCCCACTCAAGCAAGCTCAGTCGACCGTCAGCTCCGGCGGTACGCCCTGGCTGCATCTCGGCCGCATCTCGGCGGTCTCTCGGCGGCCTCTCGGCGGCCTCTCGGCGGCCTCTCGGCGGCCTCTCGGCGGCCTCTCGCCGAGGTAGAGGAAATCCGACGTACGTCCGCCCGGCGGCGCGTGCAGCTGCAGCGGCTCCGGCTTTGAGTGGGCGTGCGAGTGCGAGAAGGGCCAGCGGGTGTAGTCCTCCTCGTAAAAGGTGCGGCGCGGGCCGACACGCTCGCGCGGGTAGAGGTGCAGCCCGAGCCCGAGCCCGCCGTCGTTCGTGGGGAGGAAGCGGCCGGCCGCCGCCTCGAGCGTGGCCTCGAGCACCGCGGAGAGCGTGGGGCCGAGGTCGGCGCGCGGAAACGCGTAGCTCGCGTAGTGTTGCGCCGTCCGCTGCGGCACGGCGTACACGCGGCGCTCGCCGGTGGCCTCGTCGACAAAGACGTCGAGGTGCGCCCGCGCGTACTTGGTGAGGTACTTGAGCATGCTCTCCGACGTGGTGAGCGTGCCGAGGATCTCCGAGACGAGCATGTCGAACCTCCGGCCCGCGAACCACGCCGGCGCCTTGCCGCCTGGGCAGTGCACCACCTGAAAGGAGCCGCCGCCGCGCGACCGCAGCTTGCCGAGGTGCAAGTCTGCGAGGTGGCACATCGTCTCGTTGGTGTCGAGGCCCGTGACCGACGCGCAGCCCGCCTCGAGGCAGATCGCAGAGAGCATCCCGGTCCCCACGCCCACGTCGAGCACCCTCGGCGGCCGCCGCTGCTCCGCCTTGAACTGCCGGATCGCCGCGGTGATCGCGGCGTGGTACTTGAGGTTGCGGTCGCGGTCGTCGAGCATCGGCAGAAAGTACTGCGGGATGCCCTCAGCGGCCGGCGTGTAGTCGCTCGCCATCGTCGGGCCGCCCAGCCAAAACGTGGCAGAGAGAGCGCGGGGCGGTGAGAGTTGATGCTTGATGGGCGACAGATTGAAGAATTTTAGCAGCCCCCGGCGCCGCGGACGGAAGACGCCGTCTCTACCCTCCTATCGGCGGCGGCGTTTGCGGTGGCGAGACACCTACAGACACTCGGGGGGGGGGAGGGGGCGACCAGCCTCGAGATAGACTGCCCGAGGGCGCCGACCGTCTGCCCGTGCGTCAACGGTGGCCAGTGTACGCTCGGAAGGGCCGGAACCGTCCTCGGGGATCACTATACGGACGCGGTGGCAGGATTGGAAGGCCCCGTAGCCGACGGGTGGGCGGGGGTTCGGAGGCTTCCTGGTGAGCTGGATTACGCCTGCATATGCGGAGAGACCTTCCCCACCCGCTTCCGGCGCGATATCCACGTTCGGGCGGCGAAGGTGGGAGAGGCGCATGACATCCCGCCAGAAGCGAGACCGCGCCTGGCGGCGGCATATATCCTGGTTGATGCGGACGCCCTCTCGCCGTACGAAGCCGGGGTGGCAGCGGGCGCGAGCCGGATGGCGACGCGCGGCGATCAGCTAGAGCACAGCACCTCGTCAGAGCAAAGAGCGCTGCTGGAGGCGACCCGCGAGTGCGCCGACGCCATACCCGACGGTGCGGTGGTGGTGGGGTCTACCGACAGCGACGCGATGCGACGGGCCTTCCTGTCCACGTGTCACCGGAGCAAGTCGGTGAGGGACATGGTCCGAACGTCCGAGGCGGGGGTGCTCCGAGAACAGAGCCGGGTGATCGACGGATACAACGACCGAGGCATCGACTTTGCCGCCACGTGGGAGCAGGCGTACCATAACCGCGGCCAGAGGCAACGGTGGGACGGCAGGACGGGGCTGCTAGCGAGGCTGAACCACGGGTGCGACCTGCTGGCAGGACACTACGCTCAACATGGGCGGAGTAGGGAGCTCGACTTCTACGGGGCAATGGAACCGCAGGAGATGGCGACCTACTATTATACAGGAGGCGGGAGGCCGCTGTTCGGGGACCCGTACAAGCAGATTGGCGAGCGGGTAGAGGCGGTCAAAGCGCAGAGGCTGCTCCAGGAGGATGAGGACGCGCCGAGCCCCGGGGATAGGAGGGCGACGCTGCTCCTCCGACTGGGCGCTGACGGGAAAGTCGACCTGGGAGCGACGGCCGGCCTACGCAGAGCACTCCCGGGCCCGCTCTTGGAGGAGGCTATGCGGGCCACGCTAGGAAGAATGAGCTGCACGGCGTCAGAGTTACAGGCGCAAGGTGGGCCGGACGCTGAGGCCATCCGGAGGACAGTGCGGCTGGAAGGAGCTCGCCCCCGAGCCGCGTGCCACTTATGCGAGGGCGGCCTGGAACGGCTGCAGGGTCGTGGGGCCGCCCCAGCGGCTCCACACCAGACGTTTGGGCCGCGAGGGCCGCCACCGTACCCGCCGCCCCTGCCACCGCCTCCACCCCCGCCGCCGGCGGGGCCGCCGCCGTATGGACCCGCTCGGAATAACCTGGGGGGTCCGGGACCGCCCCGCCGGAGGCTGGTGTATCCGGGCGGAGGAGATGGGGGAGGGGAGTTACCGCGGTACGATAGTGGGCCCACCGGCGAGCCGGAGGGCCGTGACCGGAGGGCCCCGGAAGGGACTTGGGGTCAGTTGTCGGAGGAGGCGAGAGATGAGCTGACGCGGCCTCTGAGAGTGGAGTCGGGACGTACGGGCTCACCAGGGGAAGGCCAGTCGCAGTGGCAACCGGACCACCACGACCTTCCACAGGGAGGGCCACGCCCCCCCGAGCCTGGAGAGGAGCCGGCGGAGGGGGGGGGCGAGCCGAGGACGATAGAGAGGCCGCGGGTGCGGGCGCGAGACAACCAGGGAGAGCGGGCTCGACCCCCCGGGGGTGGAACTGGTCGCGACCCAATGCCACCGTTCTCACCCGGGGTGACCCCGGCCGGGCCGCCGACACTCTCAGAACCGGTGGAGCTGGGAGAGGCTAGCGAAGACGAAAGGCGGCAGCGGAGGAAGCGACACCAACAACGAGGGAAACGACCACACCGGCCGTCGTATGACGCTCGGCAAGCGAGCAAGAGAGCGAATCGGGGAGAACCGGAGCCCCGGGAGGACCGAAGGTGGAGCCCCGGGACCGAGGACTAAGCAAGTGTCTGTTTGGGCGTGGTGTCCAGTGTAATGTCCACTAGCTCCGAGTAGAGGGGGCGTCCTGCAGTTAAGGGGAAACCCGGTACGCGGGTCCAACCCTCGGAGAACTGTGTTTACTTTAAGGCCCTTGCCCTGCGAACGCGCACCCCCGGGGCTAGGGCTCTCTAGCCCGTAACCCGATGCCAATCATCCGGCCCGCTGGGTGCGCTTCTGAGCTCCCCGGCCCTGGATGTGCGGTTGATGACTGCACTCCAAGTGCTCCAAGTGCACCATCCAAGCCCCTCTCACAGCAGACTGGCTCGGACTGATTGAAGAATTCGAGCGTCGGATTTTGAATTTTACTGGCGGAATCAGCATGTCTCTCGTCGTCTCTCTGCTCCTCGCTCGGCCGGGCGGCGACTCGGGTGGTGCGGAGGCGCCGCCGCTGCGCGTGCGCGCGCACGAGGCGGCGCTGGAGCACGCCTGCTGTCGCCGCCACGGCCCGACGCCCGGGGCCGGACGTCGAGCCGGACAAACTTTTGGCGAGAGCAGACCGAGCATCTTCACCGAGCATCTTCGCACCGACCCGCTCACCTGCGACGAGCCGCGGGAGGGAGGCTCGTGTGATCCGGCCGGAGCGGCGGCGCGTGGCGCACACACGCCCCGCTCGCCCGCGGCCGCTGAGCCTGAGGCATGCCCGGCGAGAGCCAGCTTTGCCCCCTCGGCGACATTTGCGAGGCTCACCTCGCCGCCGTGCTGCGGGTGCGGCGGTTGGCTTGTGCGGTGCGCGTGGCCGCGCGTGGCGCGGCTGGCCCCTGCCCACGCTTCCTTCCATATTTTGGGCTGGCTCGCGCACGCGCCGTGGAAGCTCGACGACGAGCGACTGCATTGGCGGGCTCCGTTGTGAAAGGCGGCGGCTCTGCGTGATCAAAGGCGGCGCTCGCCATCAGCCGCCGTGCATAGATGTCCCGAACTCTTTCTTGCTTGAGGAGGGCCTCTGCATGAGTGGGAAGAAGTTGAGTGAGTGGAGAACTCGGACTTTGTGTGTGTGCAGTGCGTCTACAAGTTGCTTGCTTGACCTCCAGTTCAAATAAGACCCCCCCCCCCCCCGCCCCGCCCCGCCCCGCCCCGCCCTCCGCCCTCCCCAACCCCGCTAGGAGCAGAATACATACCCCCCACTGCCTCTCGCAGGCGAGAGAGGACTCGATTCAAATCAATGGGCTCGCCCATACCGGAGTGGTTCGACTCCAGGAGGCTATCGTGGGGTCGAGCCGGCAGTAGCCGTGACATGTGGTTCCACCACCCCTCGTAGGCTTTGCCTCTGACCGCCACCGTTCCCAGGCTGCCTAATGGGATGGAAAGGAAGGCTGGGCGAGCGTATAGAAGCGTGCTCGACCTCGTCGTGGCAGCCTGCACGGCAGCGCTGGCAGGCGCGATGAGCGTCGTGCCACCTGACCCGAGACGGGTCGCAGGCGTCGTACCGAGCGCGTCGAGACCGTGTCCTGATGTGATCTGCACGGGTGAGTCACGTCGGCATCAAAGGAGCGACGTGCGACCTGTCAGAGCTTGATCTCCGATCTCAGCGGCGTCGAGTCGCCTTCGGCGGCGACACTTTTGTCCCTCCCCAGGACGCGCAGAGGCAGCTGCGATCCCGCCGAGTGGACGGGCGCACACCGCGCCACCTGCTGTGTGCGCCCGTCTACTCGGCGGGGTCGCAGCTTCCTCTGGAAGGCACCGAGAGGGACAAAATGGCGCAAATGGTCAAAATCAAGGTTTTGTAACGCGAGCTGTGCCACAGTGAAATGAGTGTGTGTGTGTGACTGCGGCACAGACAGTGCTGCGGCGATGCCTCCGGCTGCTGCGGCGAGTGGCTTGCTGCTCGCTGCGATGGCGAAGAACTCGTCTCGTCACGCGCCAGGGGCTTATGCTCTGTCGAGACGTGAGGCGTATGCGCCCAGGAGGGGAGGGCGCATGCGTAACGACGCTGCTAGGGATGCCTTTCGGGGCCCAGAGATAAAACTTCTGATGCCATGCGTGACCTAGTAGTGTCCCCAGCTATGGGCGTGTCCACGTTGGAGCCAGGTGTGGTGTGGACGCGAGAATAGCTCCGCCGTTCATGGAGGCAACCGATGCGAGTCGACTGGTGTGTGTCGTCGTGGTTTCGTATCAAGAATACTCACTCACACACACAGTGAAATGGAACTAGCCACTGCGCCGTGCGGCGCGTTGACCCCTGGGTTGCTGAACTTGAGCACGAGCGGCATGTAGGTGCACTCCTTGAGCTGCGATGCGCTGAGCACCCAATACTGTAATGGCCTTGGTCAATACGACTATTTAGGTGGGGACCTAGATTTTGCTCCACTCCGGAAAGTCGTATTTTGCTGCGGTAATAAAAGAATCCATTGGAACAGAGCGGACTGCGGGTAGCCGTGACGGCTATTCTAACAGTACGATCCAGTAAACTGTAGTAGTGAGTAGTACAGTAATGTCGCTAAGTAGCTAGCTAAGTAAATGTACCTGTCCTGCCAATGAGACGCTGCCCAGTGCTCGTGTTTAGGACGGACTGGTACACGACACACCAACACACGACCGGTCCAAATAACACATGGAGTCCGACGTCGACCTGGGCGGGGTGGGGACGCTCAGCCACTGGAGCCGGGGTGGCATTCTCCCACTTCACAGCCTTGTTATTGAGAAGAAAATACCTCTTATGGCGCTGTGCGCTGGCCTGTGAGAGGGTGAGGTGCGAGCCCTGGACCTGACGGGCAAGAACAGACGGAGCGTCGCTCTCGCCCTCGTTGGCGAGGAGATCGCGCTTCGACAAGATCTCGGCGCAGTGCTCTGCCTCAGCGTTCCGTGGGCCACCAGCGGGCCACGGCACGCAGCGGCTCAAGGTCTCGACGGCTGCACGATCGAGAGCTTGGCGACGCGCTATCGGCGCCGAGAGAATGCGCGACATCTCCTCGTTCGACGGCTCTCGTCGACGTGCGCTGGCGTCGACGAGGCGACGCTGACGCTGCCGCGGGCTTGGCTGGGGGCAACGCTGCCAAGCTCAGCGGCAACGCCGGCGGAGGGAGTTCTCGAGCAAGTATAGACAAACTTGCCTCCATGACTCCCGCTGCCGACGATTTGCCTCGACTGGTGTGGAAGCCACAGAGCGTGATATCCCCCTTCCCCCGACGATGTGAAGCGTTTTCAGGCCATCATGGGTTCACTGCTTTATTGCGCAACTCACGCCCGGCCTGGCGTAGCTTGCAGTAGGTCTGCTGTTTCGTGCCATATGTCTCGCCCGACCCCAGAGCTGTTTGCCGCTGCCCAGCGTGTGCTGTATTATCTTCATAGGCACCGCACTCTAGGCCTGCGCTATGAGCGCTCTAATCAGGAGCGGCTGCGCTGTCTTATAGCGCAGAGTGGAATTTAAGGTGGTTCTTGAGAGTTGTGAACGAGGCCGCTTCTCTCAAAGTCGCATGCGGGCGGCCGCCCGACGCGGCCCTTCCGCCAGCCCTCACGGCCCGGGCATGCACCCGCACACCCTCCTCTCGCGCATGCCGATGCGCCCAGTCGATGCGGTCGTGGTGCTGCAGCTCTGCAGCGCTGCGACCGCACCGGTTTCCCGCGTCGCCGCCTTCGGTCGTGCCGCTCCCGCCAGCTCCGCCGCCCGCCGACGCGGTGGTACGCGCGCTCTCCGGATCCCGTCCGAGGGGCGGAGGCTCGAGCGTTCGTCCCGGGCGAGCCGCCAGACTCGAAGACGGCACCCCTACCCGCGTCCCCATCCTTAGCTTCTGTTCTTTCCTCCCCGTGAGCCGTCTCTGTCGCGAGACCGCCGAGTGTGTGCCCTCGTGAGTCCGTCGGGTACTTTTCGCGTATAAAAATTGGCTGCGCGGGCGTTCCATCTGGTGCTACCAACGGCCTGGCGGCCTCGGATCCGGCCTCGCAGCTCGACGCGAGCGCCAAGGTGGACCTGTCTCCAGCCTCTCGCGCCCCTCTCGGAGCCGTGAGAGGGTGCAGGCCGAAACCACAGCCGCTAACGCCCGTGTGGCCGAACGGGACCAAACTTTCGCCGCCGGATCCCGGGCCACGGGTAATGGCACCGATCCCGCAGTTTCCCCGGATCTTACTCGACGCTCTTGTGCCCCGAACTTTCCTCTCCCCGTCCCGAGCACGACCAGAGCTGCTCCGGCGTGGTTTGGAGCGAGGTACGGGTGGCGGCGGGTTCGAGTAAGATCCGGGGAAACTGCGGGATCGGCGCCATTTCATAGGTGCTCCAACGCCCTAGCCGGCTCGGGAGCACTGTCCTGCCCGTTATATGCGCACCCGCTTACGCTTTTAGGCTCTCCGGCGGCCTCAGGGGCCTTGCCGAGGGCTGCTTCAGCGCGGTCACAGTGCCGTGGAGCCGGCCAGCGTGCTCGCAGCCATGCCGCTGGTGGACCATGCCCGCCTCCCGCCCGGTGGCTCCAACCACAGCCCGCCTCACCGTCGGCGAAGCACCTCGGGCCCTTCGCGGCTGCGTTGTCTGTCCGGCTCCACGGGGCCTTTCCGAGACACTTCCGCGCGGGCCGAGGGACTCATCGGCCCCTCACATCCCGGAGGGACGGCGCACGCGCTGCCCAGTGACCGGGCGGGTCGGCCCCGATTAGGAGCGGCCCCAGCCGGGCGGAGAAGACCATCCCACTCGCGGTGCGTCGCACCGGCCGGTCCGGTTTTCGTCTCGAGCGGGTCGCGAGACGGCCGCGAGAGCGAGCACCGCGGTCACAGTGCCGTTGAGGCCACGGACGTCGCCGGAGCGGCACTCCCGGGGCGCCACTCCCTCACCCGGCCGGGGGGGGCCAACCACAGCCCGCCTCACCGTCCGTGGAGCTTCCGTGGTCCGCTGCTCCGGCTTCGATTTTCGACCCTCCCGAGGCTGCTAGAGCAGCCCCGCGGAGCCTCCCGGATGCACCAGCACACCGTCGTCCAGGACGACGGCGCAAGCGCTGCCCAGTGACTGGGCGGGTCGGCCCCGACTAGGGGCGGGCCCAGCCGCGCGGAGAAGACCACCGAGCTCGAAACACGTCGCCACGGCCGGCCGTTTCGCAAGCCTGAGCGGGTCGCCAGACACCCGCGAGAGCCAGCAGCTAGAGCGCCGTCGTAGCCGCAGATCGAGTCGAGGAGCTTGATGTCCACGGTAGCAGTTGTGGAGAGCGGTGGCGCGGTGCGTGTAGAGGGGTCGATCGAGGGCTCTTTTTCGGAAAACGCGACGGGTACGGCATGACAACTGCCAGTACAGTTTTACGCCGGCCAGGGTGAGAGCACAACAGGGAGCCGGCGACCCGTACGCTTTACGCGTGGCGGCCGGTGGCTGTCTGGAGCTCGTGCGAGCTGGGCCGACGCGTGGCCGAGCCGAGAGGACCAGCGAGCGACCACGTTGGCGATGAAGCTTGGCGGCCGGCGCCTCGTCGCCAGACGTCACAGCGGCGTGGACGCAGGAGTGTGCGGCGACGAGTACCGGCAAATCCGGCCCGGTGTGGCCGGCAGCTGCATAGCGCTGGCCTGTGACCGGCGCCGCGGTGGCGCAAGAGGCGTCTCGCCGCCGTGGCGGCGGTCGGCAGGTGCGAGCGTGACGGCCATCGTGCGGCAGAGTCCGGGCGCAATTTTTCTCAAGAACCACCTTAACCGGTGTAGGAGGCCGCAAACCCGCCATAAAAACGGTATGGCGGTGGAGTGCTCTCTAGCTGCTGCGCAGTGCCGATGCGGCAGCTGCAGTGCGCAAGCGAGAACAACTTTTGGGGGATGCTCTTCTGGCCGCACACAAGCCGGAGTATAGAGACGTGCCTTTTCGGAACTTGGAGCACTTGGAGTGCAGTCATCAGCCTCACATCCAGGGCCGGGGAGCTAAGAAGCGCCGGAACACTTAAGAAAGAAGGAAAGAAAACAGACAACCCAAGGGAGGGATGGGAGAACGGCACGCCGCCACCACACAGGGATTTTAAGGAGAGGGGTGTGGTGCGCTAGACGTCGCCCACCCTTGGGCGTCCGCCTCTTCCTATCTCACTTCGCAGTCTCTCTCCGATTCTCGCTGCAACCTTCGTGCCACCTCGCGGTCTCCCCCTTCTCGTCGTGCTCTCCCTTGTCGCCTCTTCCTCTGTCGCGTCGCTCTCCTCTGCCTCGTTCTGCGCCGCCGCCGCCGCCTGCCGTTCCCTTGTCCTCTCGGCTTCTTTTGCCTTTCGGCGCAACTCCGTCCTCCTCGCGGCGTATCCTGGCCCCTCGAGTCTATCGAGCTCCCCTCGCGCAAGGACGAGTCTTCTGACGCCCACTGCTATCCCGCATGACTCCCATGACGAAAACGAAACACGCACCAGGCGACTGCCTGAGAACGCTGGATCGAATCGAGGAGGCACCTAGAGCAAAATTGGGCCCGCTTCAGGTGAGAAAAAATAGTATAAGGGTCGAAGCAGGTTTCGAACTCGCGACCTTCCGATTCCGGATAGGGAGCCAGTAAGAGATCGCTTCAAGTAGTGAGAGGGGATGCCGGCGGGCGACCTATGTAGCATACCGGGGGAAATTAAACACCACAGATACGCACACACCGACGCCCGAAGTGCCAAGAAGGACGTCATTAGTACGAAACCTCAAAAAAGGCCATGGGCAAAGAAAGGCGACGCACCCCCTCCTTGCGCAGTGTCCCCCGCTATGTGTCGCCAATTGGGGCACGCTATCCTGCGCAGGCAGGGCAAGCGGGGGCGGGGGGCAGTCCCCCTGGTCTGATACTGGGGTGTGGGTGTCTCCAGTCTCGGAGGGGGGCAAAAAGATAAGAATATCTGACGCCCACTGCTATCATTTGCCGCCCAGTCATGTCATTGCTCAGGTCCACTCTCTCTTCGAACACTTGTGCCTCTACGGATGATGCCGGCGCTAGTGCGCGTGAGCGGTGTTTGTGTGTGTGTGTGTGTGCTTGTGCGTGTGAGGCCTGCTCATACTTGTTGAGCTCGCCCGCCTACGTCGTGAGTACGCCGACGTCAGAGTGTGAATTCGGTCTCGTGCCGTGTATTCAGAGGGTACGAGGGGCTGGAATACGATGAACACGGCTGAAACAATACAGCGGAATAGAGCTCTACGGCGGAGCACGTGTCCTCTCGAGCGCTAGCAGCGAATACGAACTCCGCTCTAGGGCTCGCCCGCCTCCCACCGCTCCACAAACGAGCGCACGAGGCCCGACGCGTGCTCCATCGTCACGCTGAACTTGTCGCGCAGCAGCCGGGCATCGGCGCTCTCCACCCCGACTCTGTCTTTGAGCATCTCCACCGGGCTCTGCAGCATGGGCACGAGCAGCATCGTCGCGTCAAGTATCGCCTGTGTGGCCGACAACGAATTAAAGTTGACGCTTCTGAGACACTTCCTTGTCGCCGTGCCGCACCAGGCCTCGGCCACTACGTGACAGCCCCATTGGCTGCGTGACTTGTCTTGTGTCATCAGCGTGTCGCTCCTGTGTGGCCGACATTGCCCGTCTTGCGTCCACCCACAGCGCGCCAGTGTCCCAGATGCTGGTCTGACTGTGTGTCGCCTCTCCATTCATCTGTCTGTCGCCTCCGCAAACTCGAGGTTGCCCGGCAGGGATGGCGTCGCGGGGTCGGCCGACTCGATCAGCTGCCCAAAGAACGCGGCGGTGAAGAGGTCTGTACACAGCTACAGGTGTGAAGAGGCGCTGTTCACAGGGCTCGAGGGAGCGGAACGCTCAGGCCGCGTGCACCGAAGCTGCTGCGGGCTGCGAAGCTGTCCATCGAGTCGGCGCAGGCCGGAGCGCCCCGGCTCGCAAGCTGTGCCGCCTTGGCGAGCCCCGGGATGTATCCTCGTGCGGCCTTTGGCGTCTGCAGGTCTTGCTGGAAGAACATGCGCTCCTGCCGCCAGGCCTCGCCGTGCCCGAAGATGTTTAGCGCGCCACGCGTGGCGCCGCCGGGCTCGTCTGCGCCGGGCATCCGCTTGAGGGCAGAGATGGAGGGCCACTGCGTCTCAACCGGGAGGGGTGCAGGCCTTCGCCTCGGATCACCTGCACGTACTCCTCCGGGTCGGAGCAGATGTAGATGGTGCCGTGCACACCTTCTCCGACGCCAGGAAACCCCATCGTATAGAAATGGCCCATTTTGGAGTAGCCGTTTGCGAACATCAAATAAATGTCCGGCGCATTCGCGCGCGCCGCCCGCCGCTGCAGATGCCACACGTTCTCTGCCGGGAGGTTGAGCATACTGCCAATGACAGGATATGATCGGAGGCCAGGTGCCTGAGCCACGGAGCTCTGACGTCGAAGCAGCCGGCCCATGATTGCGGCCGCCCGGCGTCCCGCCTTTGGTGCGCAATTCATCGGCGAATCAACGCCGGCCTCGTGTGGCCAGAACAGTACTCGAGTAGGGTGGGGGAGGGCTCCCAGAGTTTTTTCTGTGGTTTTTATCGTGCGCTGCTCACTCACTATACACTGAGTGGAGAGAGAGTACACCACACACACAAACACTACTCCCCAACACGCGGCTAGCCAGGCCTGCCTGCTACACGATGGCGACGTTCTCAGGGTTCTGCCTGCGTGCTTTTGTTGCCTCCCGCTTGGAGTCGGCAGTAAAGCAAGTGGATGGAAGCGGGGGCGACAGGGACGGCGGCGGCGGCGGCAGGGGGCTGGGGGGTCGGCGATGCCGAGATGTGTGCCCATGTTTGTGCGTGGGGGGCGTTGCACGCCGCGGATCAGGCCGGGCGGCGGGGAGGAATCGGACGGCGACGGCGGCGGCAGGGACAGGGGCAGTGGCAGTGGCCCAGGGATGGTGGCGACCGCCGCGAGCGGGATGCAGCCGGCGAGGCGAGGTGACCGGTGGGCGCGACCGTTGCGCGCTGCTCGAGTGCGCACGACAAAGCAGCTCTGGATGCAGCCAAGGTGACCTGCGTGCGCGGGGACGGCAAGGGTCGCGCCGCAGCCCGTGCTCACCGGGGGCTCAGTCTCGATGGGGAGTGGGGGGGAGAGAGAGAGCAGCCAGGCCCGCGTACCGGTAATGCGAGACGACATTGACATTTGTAGCCGCCGCGGCTTGCAGAGCGTTTGAAAGTTGTCGGGCAACGTGCGCATGTCGCGGGCGACGCCCGTCCGCAGCTGACACGTCGTGGTGACGATGATGGCGAGGAGCATCACGGTGGAGAGGAGCGTCCCGGCGCTGCTTGGGCTCGCTCGAGTTTCCGGTGAGGGCGCGGCGCGGCGCGGCACGGGTTTTTCATTTATCAGGGCTTCCGAGGTGAACCTCGAAGAATTCTTGGAGGTCCACCTCCAAGCCCTGATACAACAAAAAGCCCATGCCGTGCCCTCACCGAAAGTGGGAGGGAAGTGGACGGGGCCCTGAGCCGACCTAGCCCTAAACGGAATGGGGCGCCCAACACGTGCCCGGATTACTGTGCCTCCCCCGGGCACAGCCTTTCGGTTCGTGAAGGGTCGGTGCGTGTCGTGACCCCCTGGAACACCCGTACTCTCCCGCGCCATCTCCGTCGCCCTGTTCGGCTGCGGCCTTACCACCAAGATCGGGAGGCGGCCAGGGCTCATAGACTCGGTCGAGAGACCCCAGATTGGCATCCATGCCTCTCTGGACAGGGTGGCCCGCCACAACGACCCCTGGAATTGCGACTCGCCGCTTTCCTCCCGCTGTGATTCTGTGTGAGCTCTGTGTCTTGATTTGCCAACAATATACGCCATGGAGAAGTTTGTTCGAGACCTCGCGAGCGGCCGGCTATTCACACCTCGGCAATATACCTACGAAAACTCGAGCGAGCCCAAGCAGCGCCGGGACGCTCCTCTCCACCGTGATGCTCCTCGCCATCGTCGTCACCACGACGTGGCTGCGGACGGGCGTCGCCCACGACATCGTGCGCCCGCTCTCCAACGTCGCCGAGATCCCTGCCTCGCCTGCCTCGCCTGCCTGCGGCGTCGAGCTCATCGCTGGGCAGGTGCGCGGGTAGAGCTCTCCACCATACTCTGCCGCGATCCCGGCTGCTGCGAGCACGGCGCCGCCCGGTGCGCGCGAAATGACCCCTGCCGTTCCCGCGCGCACGCAGGTCGCCGAGGAGGACGTCGAGTGCCAATGCGCAAGCACGACAAATGTGCGCGCGTCCGCCGCCGCCATGCAGCCCCACCCCTCCCCGCCGTCGATTTCGTCGCCGTCCGTGCGCGCGCCGCCGTTCACTCCGCCGCCGCCGTCGCCCCCACTTCCGCCGCCCCCGTTTTGCGCCTCGCCGCCGCCGCCGTTCTCCTTTTCCCGCCGCCCGCGCTACGCTCAGTCGCGCGCGTGTGCGGCTCGCCTGCGTCGCCGCCGCCCCCCCTCTCGCCGCCGCTCCCCTCACAGCCTCGTACAAGGGTGCCGCCGTCGGCGCCACAGCCTTGGCTCGCCCAAACGGTGACCCTCCCCCATCCCCCTCGGTGCTGCCCCACCTTCATCAGAACCAAATCCTCACCCCCCCCCCATTGCGCCCCGAATCAGGTGCCATCGCCACGTTTCCGTCGGATGAATTATGTGGAATCGTACCCCTCGGTGGTTTCCAAACCTATTCAAAAATGGACGCTTACAGAAATCGGCAAAAATTCAACCGTCACAACAACATTGCGAGAGACGAGGAGTGACTCTTGCTCAAAGTGCACAAAGGGTGGCGCGATTTCGGTTGAAATTCGCGTCACCACTCGCCGCCTCTCGCCGCCGATCGATGACGAAGAGGAAGACCGAACTTCGCCCCAACTGCGAAACGATTGCGATTGGCGTTGGCCTGAAGGGCTTGCCCCGTTGCTGAATCTCGATGCACACCTTTCGCTGCGAAATTGGGAGCTCAAACCAGGTCATGTTGCCCCATTGCGGCTTGTCGGAACGCACCTTTCGGTGCGGCATTGGGCGCTGGAAGGAAATCAAGTTCAGCTGATTTCAAACGCTACCCGATACTACTACTCAGCTTCGTCTTGGGCTAGCCATAGATACCTGCTTCTTGATGAGCGCACAGAGTACTTTGAGTGGCTCTGCACCGTTCGATCACGACGCTTCGGATTGCCACCGGGCTTGGTCTCCCTCGGCGGCAACTCTGCATTTCTCAGCGGCTACGAAGCCGGCTCGGCTGTCGGATACCTCTGCGTCAAATGGGTGCGCATGCTCGTGAAATCACCTCAGAGTTGCGCCTTTGCCATGGTGCCAACATTGATGGTACTCACGCCACTCGTCAACAACGACCCGCTGTTGGTTACGCACGGCATCGCGGCATTCCACTCAGGTGTCAAGGTCGCTTCTTTGATCGCAACAGACGGTTCCGTGCTCGTGGTTGCGACCCCGCTTGCTACAAACTTGCTCCTCGACCACTGCCTGGACTTCGTGCGACACCGCAATTCAGTTCAAGCGAAGCGCGAATTGGCAAAAAAGCGCCGAAGGCGGTTTAACGCGCACCCCCGGGGCTAGGGCTCTCTAGCCCGTAACCCGATCCCGATCATCCGGCCCGCTGGGTGCGCTTCTGAGCTCCCCGGCCCTGGATGTGAGGTTAATGACTGCACTCCAAGTGCTCCAAGTGCTCATTCTTGATACGAAACCACGACGACACACACCAGTCGACTCGCATCGGTTGCCTCCATGAACGGCGGAGCTATTCTCGCGCCCACACCACACCTGGCTCCAACGTGGACACGCCCATAGCTGGGGACACTACTAGGTCACGCATGGCATCACAGAAGTTTTATCTCTGGGCCCCGAAAGGCATCTCTAGCAGTGTCGTTACACATGCCCCCTCCCCTCCTGGCGCATGCGCCTCACGTCTCGCCAGAGCATAAGCCCTTGGCGTGTGGCGAGACGAGTTTTTCGCCATCGCAGCGAGCAGCAACCCCGCCCGCCGCAAACAGCCGGAGGCCTCGCCGCGGCACTGGCTGCGCCGCGGTCCCGCACCCGTCGACGCAGCTCCCCCCGCGGAAGACCGCGCGTAGCAACGTCTTGACGATCGAGATGAGCGTGCCTGAAGCTCGCCCACCTACTGCCCCTGAGAGTTGGTTATTGAGTGGGATCAGCTCCCCCCCTTGGGATCGAAGCCGCCACAACCTCACACCCAACATCCCAGGCGGGATCAGAAGGGGACTCCACACCGGACACCGCCCGGGCACAGCCCCCCTACCCGTCGGATCGCACAGAGGGCCCTCTCTCTCTCTCTCTCTCTTGGCCTTTAATTTCCCCGGAGGGGTCCAAATACTTTATTTAGGCAAACCAAAAGGTGGCGGGTCCATCGCCGCATCTGTGTGTGTCTCGCGCCTTGCGTGCCGGCCCCGCCATGGCCACGCCCGCGATCGGCGCCGTGCCCACCATCATCGCCGGCATCCTCATCTTCCTCGCCACATACTCCGGCGCCGTGACAAAGGGAATGGCTTTCGCCCGCGAGAACCCGCTTCCAGCTGCTGCTGTGTGGCTAACGTGCCTCGTTCTGTCCTACCGGCTCTCCGGGATCGGAAGCGGACCGGCACAGTGGCCGAGCAAACAGCAGTACGACCACAGCCCGCGCAAGCGGAACGCGCGGAAGGTCGACTAGGCGGCCGCGGCGAGTTCCGCCTCTGCAACCCCTCGTCTCGGCGCAGGAGCGGCCTCTCTGTGCACGGCCCGCGACAGAGCATCGTCTGTGTCGGCCGGCATCCCGCAGCGCGCAGAGACGAGCACACAACACCGGCACTGCGCGAGCTGCGGTCTGAGATGTGGCCAGGAGGTGTAAGTTGGCGTTTGAGAGCCACATGCACATGTACATGCGACATGTCTTGTCATGTAAAGTAAGATGCGCGACGGATCCCGATGTCATCTATTTGCACACTACATCTCTCGACCTGTGGTGACCGTGAGACCTGTGTGTCTGATGTGACTGTCTCGCCGGGGTGAAATTCTGAAAAACGTGCAGCACTTCTAGCCGACATCGACAAAAGTCACTCTCTAGCCCCGCGGCGAGCGGCCCCGCCGGAGGCGAAGAAAATTTTGCCATCTAGCGCTCTCTAACACACATTTTTGCACAAATCGACGCCTCCAAACAAGCTCAATAAGACTGGTCTTCACTGCAGCACGCCTCGAGCGAGTAATGCGTCTGTAGGCCAATATAATAGAGCTTCTCGCGCGCGCTCCTCAGCTGGCGGTCCGCAGGGCCGCCCGGGCCGGGCGAGAAGCGCAAGCCCGCCAGCCGCACCATGTGATTCACGATGATGAGCGTCTCGGCCTCGAGCAGCGTGTAGGAGCGAAGCTTGCCCTCGCACTCGCGTTGCTCGAGCCTGAGCCACTGCGCCTTAACCACGAGATAGCCCGCGGGGATGGTGTCGGTGTTGACGACCGTGTCCTCGGCCAGCGTGTACGCCTTCCCCTTGAGCACCGCCAGCCAGTAGAGCCCCTCGAGCGACTGCTCGCGCCGTTCTGCGCGGCGACAGCGGCCTGGACCCACACGTCCGGCCAAGTCGGTTACGGGGAGGGCTACTACGAGGTCTTTGCGCGGGGGTGGTCGGGCGCCAGGCGCCCAGTCGATTGCCGCATAGTTCGTCGTAGTAGCCCTATCATAAACCTCTTATTCACACCGTGCACTTTGAAAAAAGAAATATGCTATATGGACGTTTGTCGAAGATCCGGAGGGTTTATCAGAGCATCACCCCTCGTGTCGCGGTAATAGTTAATAGATGTAAGATGTGGGGGGGGAGTGGCGTGCGCGGCTCAGGTGCCTAGGAAGGGGTCCGGCGACACGCCCGCTACAAGCGCAGCGAAAGAGAGCATGCTCTAAATCTGTGAGGGCGTGCGCTGCAACTGACGTGTCCATATCGACTTCGTCATAAACGACGTTACGGGTTCGGTGGGCGGGGGGGGGCGGGGGGAGGCCAAGCGGCTGTGTTTCGCCTTCCTATCAATCAATCAATCGGGTAGCTGGGGTTCCCAAGGGTAATCCCATGGGTCCGTTAGTTAGCGGTGCCAACAAGGCCTAGGACCTCAGAGACTATGGAAAGTTCACGTCATGACGGTTAAAACGGCTGTTAACCGTCATGACGTGGTCAATATGTCATGACAGCGGCTGCGAAACGACAGCAGCAACGACGGCAGCAACGACAGCTGGTGACAGCTGGTGACAGCTGGTGACAGCTGGTGACAGCTGGTGACAGCCAGCTGCCAAGGAGGAGTGAAAGGCACCAGGAACAGTGACAGCCATAGTGACAGTGACAGTGAAGCCAGTGAATGCCAACGACAGGCGGTGACAATGTCAGCGCGGGGCCCCGCGAGTGACAGCGACAGCGACAGCGACAGCGACAGCGACAGCGACAGCGAGGCAGCGCCACAGGCACAGCCGTGAGGCAGCCATAGCCCTCGTGAACGGGCCCAACCGCCCACCCACCCATCTGTGCAGTACACCCCATGGACTAAAATAAGACACCGGTGCGCGTGGATGTAGCTCTCAACGCCTGATGCACAGCAGCGTTTGTACGTCTCACACATTTTGCAAAACTCCCTGCTCCTCTGCCTCAGAATTTCTCTGTGTAGGGTGAGCCTGCTTTCTTGTAGCAGAGCAGAGCTCTCTACATGAGAGTTCCTGATCAACGCCACTTGTGGCTCGGCAATGGCCACCTGCAGATGGCCACCGTGGCCGGTGCGCTTTGACTCGCACAGTGAACGCCAGCCATGCGCGCCGTGCCTTCCCTTAGCCCACACGCGCGCATGTGCATGCCATTGCTCACCTCAAACTATCAGCAACGACGTGGTCAATATGTCTACCTTGAATAGCGCTAGACCTTAGAAAATTTTTCAGAGAGTCGACGGGCGCTTGTGATCTTTCCGCCTGCGTCGGCCCCACTTGGTGTGCTGGAACTTGGAACTTGGTGCCACTTGGTGCCAATTGGAGCCGGCGAGAGGCCCTGACCTGCTTGCCTCATGCGCACCATGCGTGTGCTCGGAGCTTTCATGTCGCCGCTCTTTTGACACGAAGAAAGTGGGCTGATCCGCCGACGGCCGAGCGTGTGGGATAGCCAGCTGGCTGGCATTGGAGCTCTTCTCGTGACGAACTTGAGCTTATTCCAGCCATAGTCATCGTCTACGATCCACATGCAGACTGCCGGTGACAGCATGCACCTTGAGAGGTTCAACCCGAGGTGTGTTGCTCAATGCTCTGCGCGTTTGCTTGTGATCGTGGATTTCAAGGTCCCAATCCTCGCGGCTGAGGATTGACACCGTTCGCTCGCGTGAGATTTTTGAGCGGCAGATGAACCAGCGCTGGAGCCCATCACGGCACATGCTGGAGGAAGGAGGGCATCGTCCATCGAGCAAAGCCCTGGTAAATACAAAATAGGGGAGCCAGGCCACTTCTTCGTTCTTGAGACTGGGAACTGAAGGGTGGCCACCACCATCCTCCCCGTCGAGGTGCACGCCGCGGGCCATTTTTCTTCTCTCTGGCGTCAACCAATGCGGCGGTCAACCAGTCTGCTGATGGCGGCGTCACGCCGCTGCTCGTTGCGTGCCAGAACGGCCACGTCGAGTGTGCCCGGCTGCTCCTCGAGGCCAGCGCAGCGGTCAACCAAGGCGGTCAGCCAAGCTGCGGACGGCGGCTTCACGCCGCTGCTCGTCGCATGCCAGCAGGGCCACGTCGACATCGCCAAGCTGCTGCGCGACGCCGGCGCTTCGCTCAACCAGGCCACGGAGGACGGCGCCACGCCGCTGTACATCGCGTCCCAGCAAGGCCACCTCGAGGCTGCTCCTTGAGGCTGGCGCGGCGATGGACCAAGCCAAGCAGAATGGCGGCACGCCGCTGCTCATCGCGTGCGCTCTGGGTCACATCGAGTGCGCCCAGCTGCTGTGCGACGCCGGCGCTTCGCTCAACCAGGCCACGGATGACGGATACACGCCGCTGTGCCTCGCGTGCGAGAAAGGCCACCTCGACATTGTCTGGATGCTTCTCGAGGCCAACGCGGCGGTCGGCCAAGCCAAGGAGAATGGCACCACGCCGCTGTACGCTGCGTGCCATGACGGCCACGTCGAGTGCGCCCGGCTGCTCCTCGAGGCCAGCGCGGCGGTCAACCAAGCCCAAACCCAAGGCGCGACGCCGCTGCTCGTTGCATGCCACCAGGGCTACCTCGAGGTCGCCAAGCTCCTCTCCTCCTACGGCGCCTCGCGTGCCGCAGTGCCGCCCTTCGGCACGCCCGAGGAGGTCGCGAACCGCGACGGCCACGCCGACCTCGCCGCCTGGCTGGTCGCCAGCCGCGACTGGACGCCGCTCGCGCACCTTGAGAGCCTCACCGCCGCCCGCGCCCTCTCGCTGCTGCGCAGCGGCGCAAGCTTGCACGAGGGCGAGCCGACGCCGCTGCAGCGCGCCGCGGGCGGCGAGGGCGAGGCGGCGGCGCTGATCCGGCGGGCGGCGGCGCCGTGGTCGCCGGCAAGCCACTCGCTCTTCCCCGCGGCGGCCCGCGCGCGGGCGGCGCTCCTCGTCCGCTCGATCTACGAGATCCACGAGCGGTACCACCTCGACTCGGCCGGGGCCACGAACGGTATCGCGGCGCTCGACTTTGGCCACTGCGTCCTGGGCTTCGCGATCACGCGCGAGACGGAGTAGGGGAGCAATGCAGTGGCCTTTCACCTTGGATATACTTGGAACCGCCGCGGCGGTGCCTCAGTCTCCTGTTGTTTAGTACTCTCGCAGCTGGATCGGACTGCTTTGCCTTCCGTTTTATCTCGCAACGTACGTACATACTACATTCTGTCGCGATGGTTGTTTGTGGCCACTAGGTCTCTGCACGCAAAGCGCAATGTCAGTGGTACACCCTCCTCTCACGTTGGAACCGCCGCGACAGTGCCTCCGCATGTCGTCGCGGGCCGCCCGCCCTGCGGCTGAGTCGGCTGTGTGACCTGTGTCGCGGGCGGGTGCGTCGCCTCGAGCCGCTCGTGTGCCTCGACGCGCTCGAGGGGCCTCGCCTAACCTCTCCGCCACCCACTTGGTCGATCTACGAGAGCGTAAAAAAGCATGCGCACACGGCGCACGAACATGCACAAGACATGCGCAACATGCTCTCTCACCACACGTTGCAATCTGTGGTCCCAGCTGTGACCGTCTAACGGCGGGCACGTCGCCCCATGGCGCGCGTAGCTATGACAGGGACCGCGGCCGCGGATCCGGCGGCGGACGGGGCTGGCGCGCAAGCGCCGGCCACCGTCGGGCCGCCGGGGAAGCGCCGCGGACGGCCCTGGAATAGCAGCCATCGCGCGCACATCCGGCGGCGATTTCGTTTTCTAGGAACTACCGGCTCGCCGGCGCCGTCGCCAAAGTGAGCCGGCATCGCCCGCCGCGTAGCGAGGCTGTGGTCGAGGGGCAACGAGAAGTGGTTTTTGATGCCCACGCGGCAGAGCTGGCTCCTGAGTTTCCCTCTTCGAGTTTAATCTCCGGCCTCTCTGGCCTTGCTCTCCAGCTCTGCTCTCCCGCCCCCGCGGCGGCCGCCGCCGCCGCCGCCCCGCGCGCAGTGTGGGCGCGCGCGGGGCTGCGGACACTGAGACAGAGTGCTCCCATGCGGTCATCAGACAGCGAGGTCACTGCACACATGGGGGCCCCTCTGGTGTTATTCTATGGTTTGTTGCGCACAGGGGGTTCCACTATTTCCTGAATTCTAGTCTCAATGTTACAACTCACACACGCCCTCCAAGATGCAAGAAAGTGCTAACTGGCAAAGTGGCCCAGATGCAGAAAATGATCGGGCGGCGGGGGACGCGGGAGCCCTTGGATGGGGCTGAGGGCTCGGCCCCTCGCGGGGCACACGTCGGAGGACTTCACACTACTGTCACAGTATCCTACTCAGCCACGCGGTGCAGCATTATTCGAACCACGAAGAATGGGGATGTCCTACACTGCGTGGCAGGAAGGAAAGAGGATCATGGGGCGCAACGATCGAATCCGCCCTGACCCTGTTGCAGACCGCCCCGACACCCGGGACGCCGCGCCCGCATGCCTCCCGCGAGCTCTCGCCTCGACCAAGCATCGAACAAGTCGTGAGGAGCTGCGCCTGATCGTTCTGAACTCGATTATGCGCGGAGCAACGCTCTTTTGCGGCGTTTGCTTGGCAGGCCAGGACGCTGGCGCAAATCAGTTGGGCTGAGCACGCGCGACAGGGCGCGTGTTACCGTCGTCACCCACGGCGTGCAGCCTCCCCGACTGGCCCGCCTTAGCGGTTGGCTGTTGACGCCACTTGGAAGCGTAAACAGGCGTCAACTTTGCCGTGATGCTGCTAGACTTCCTGATTTGCCGCCAGCCCCTCTACCTCGCGCACATCACCATGTGACGCGCTTGCTCGCTCGCACACATCCGGGTTTGGCCAGTAGTGGCCAGCGCGCTCTGACCGTGGATAGGCCGCTCGCCTACTCGCTCTCCTACCTCGTCTTCTCTGCAATCTACTATGCCGCAGGAGGCACGTACCACCGGGACCGCACCTCGCGGTACATTTACGACGTGCTGGATTGGTCCGTGAGATAGCCGAGAAGTGACCGAGACGCTACCGAGGCATAGCACATGCAAAACTCAACTAGACTAGTCGTCTAAGATGTGCAGGGACTCTCCACCGATTCGAGACTAAGACAGAGAGCGGCGCCCCTTTACACCGCACCACGTGAGCAGGTCGAGCCCATCTGGCCCGAGCACGCTCTCCGCGCTGATTGTCTTGCTCGTCGTCCCCTTTCTGTACCTCATCTTCATCGTTCTGTACGCTTGGCGCCTAAAGTGCTCACGCAGCGCCGGCGTCGGGCCCGCGAAGCAGACCGCGCCTGACAGCGCTGACGTCGGCAACTCTCTGGCATGAGGGATGTGCATGCAAAACCTCACGATCGGGCGGGGGGGGGGGGGGGGGAAGTGCACATGCATGTCGCAGAGAGAATAGCAGAGAGGCAGGGGGGAGTGCTTCTTCAGGCACACCTTGCTGATGATCTGGTAGTTGCTGGTCCAGCGGAAGGCCTCCCCATCGTTGTCGCTCGTCAGCTTGAAGTACTTGCACGCTCTGTTCTGGTAGCGCGGGCCGTATGGGGGGGTCCCGTCACCCTTCACCTCACGGTACCACCGGAGGATAAAGAGGCCCTTGGGGTCGTTGATGAAGACCCCGTTGCTGCGCTGACTCATCGAGAGCTGGCGCAGGTACTCTGCGCTCGAGCTGCCAGTGGCGCGGCGCGCGTCTACCGTGCCGTCGGCGACGGCCACCTGCTCGATGTTGCCAATGGCAAAGACCTTGGAGCTGTCCTCCATGGTGAAGAGCACCGCAACTGCGGAGAGAAAGAGAAGAGGGAGAGATGAGAATGCACGTCTTATGTGTGTGTGTGACAGGCGGCAAGGGCGTGGTCACCGTCATCATCATCCATGTAGAAGTCGAGCTCCTCATCCACATCCTCGCCTCGCTGCTGATGGGACTTGATGAGCCGCTTGACGTGGAAGCGGAGCTTACGATCCTTTGACTCCTCCTGGATGGAGACGTTGAAATCTGCCAGCAGCTTACGGATCTCCTCAAAAAACTCTGCGCTGCTGCCCTCCTCGCCGCCGGTTGGAGGCGCCACGTTGGCCCCCGTCCGCATCAGCTGGTTCAGCACGGCCTCGGCATCTGCAGCATCCTGTGCGCCCATGGCGGTCAGCTCGGCCGGCTCAGCATCGGGTGTGCCGTTTGGATCATCCTCCTTCTCTCCCGGCTCCTCCAGCAACGCGCCACCCTGGACATAGGTGTCAGCCAGAGGAAAGTGCAAGCACGGCTGCTTGAAGAAGCCGGTCTGTGCACAGAGGTTGGCGCGGACTCCACAGAATCGAAGGCGCGGACCACATACACATGTCTTCGCATGTAATAGTTTTGCTATACCCTCATGGGACACAAGAAAGAGGCTGCACGGCCTGAGACGGTCTGTGCTGCTGTGTCGGGCTGGTCGGGCTGTCGGGCTGTCAGCGCTGCTGTCAGGCCGCTGTGTGCTGTCGGGCTGTCGGGCAGCTGTCAGGCTGTCACGTTAGGGCCTGACAGCGACGGGACGCCTCTGATGTCAGGCTCTGCTGTCAGGCTGTCAGAGACGTGCTGTCAGACTGTCGGAGAAAGTGCTGTCAGCGCTGTCAGGCTGTCGGGCACTGTCAGGCGCTGTCCGGGGTTTGCTGTCAGGCTGTCAGACCAGGGCTCAGTGTGTGTGTGTGTGGGGGGGGGGCAGAGAGGGGGGCGGCGGCAAAAGGGGCGGCGAGGGAGAGGACTGGGGAAGCGGCGGCGGCGGGGAGGATGACGGGGTAGGAGGGGGAACGGCGATGGAGGCGGTGGAAGTGGGGCGAGGGGGGGGGGGGTGGATGGCGAAGTTGGGAGGGAGGGCGATCTCCACGGCGCCAGCCTGGACCAATGCCGCAGGCAGCCAAGCCCAGCGAGGTCAGCTTGTTGCGCAGCCGAGCTCAACACGCACGGCGCTGAGGGCCATCTCCTCGGTGAAGCTCACGTCCACCAGTCAACCCTGGAGGCGGATAAGCTCTGGGCGCTCCCAGTCTGGTCGTGGTCGAGACCGAGGTGCCGAACTGAGAGGCACTACTGGAGGCTTCCTCCGGCCACCGCTCGACTACCCACGCACATGGCCGGTCCTGTGGCTTGCCTGGACTCGCTCAGAAGCCTCAATTCGCGCACACCTTTGCTCTCTGGCTCCCGCGAGTGCGTTCAGGCCACTCAAGCAGGCGACGCCGAGCACCCGCGACGCATCTCGCTGGGGCGCCACCTATCGACCCGACTGATTGGCAGCATCAAAGCCGACCCCATGACGGTCCTTCAGCCCCACGAGGTAGGCAGTTGCGCCCTGATCTCGGTCCAAGACGGCCAACGCCGTGTCCGGCACCTGCTGGCTGCTTCACGGGGATGCCCCCCCCGGACACATGCTGCAGCCCCGAGTGGATGTATTGGTCGTTTGTGGGTCCCCCAAGACTACTCTAGTAGGGGCCGGGCGCTTGAGCGTCGGCGGTACACCTGTGCAGATGTTGCACGGGTGAAATGGCTCCTCGTACAGGGTAGGAGGCAGGTGGTGGGTTTGAGTGTCGTGAGTGCTTGCAGCCGCGAGTGCAGCACCGTTTGTGATTCCCATGGATGCAGTTGGGTGGGCCACGGTGCTGGGTGGCGGTCCGGTGCGCCACAACAGCCTCCCTGGCTGACCCCCATCCAGTGGCGCCACTCTGCGTGGCTGCCCTCCGGGCCTGTCCTTGGCTCTCCGACATCGATCAGGGCGCCCGAAGGGGCCGGACACTGTGTCCCGCCTGCTTCTGCCGTCAGGCAGGAGCGCGGGACACAATGCGATGCGAGTTAATGCGCATTTCTTTTCTGCACTATAGCCCTTGAGAAAAAGCTCGCATTATGCAAACCTGTGCCTGTGTCCTAGGAAGTAGACTGAGAGGGGTACTCCCATAGGCAAGAGGAGGTCTGGAGAGGCCCACAGCGGTCAGGAGAGGCCCCAAGAGGGTGCTAGATGAGAGTCAGCAGAGCGCGCCGTCTCGGCGGCTATGGGCAAGCGGGCTGAGAGACAAGAGGGATTTTTCTCTCGGGCGGAAGATGAAGCCCTAACTTCTAATAAATTGTGTCGTGCGTAGCCGGGGGCGGACAGCGCGGAACCGATTTTTATTTGGCGCAGTACCCTCCTTCCTGAGTCACCAGAAAATCCCAACGACCCTTGAGCGGAGGCCACCTTGGCCGCTTTTGCGGCCTCTCCGGAGAATCTGGAAGAATGGCTACCATAGCCTAGCATGGCACCCGCGGGCAAAGCTGCCCCCAGGTCCCTAGAGTCCATGGGCATTCCCAAAGAATATGTCAGCGTGAGGTGAGGGCGCAACGGTGGGGGCTCTCACCAGCCCCTTAAAGTCGGGCCTCTCGGGCGGCGGTCAGAGGGGCGGGCAAGGGCACGTGGGAGAAGGGTCAGTGCGGCCCACAAGGTGTGAGCTACCCCCTCTCCTAGGTGTGACTCTACAGCCCCTGAGGCCCTCTAGACTTCTATACCAACAGCTTGGGCAGAGGTCCTCGGGGTGGGGAGAGAGGGAGCTCCCCTTTTCAGACCCCCCCAACCGCGCATTAACTCGCACCCCAGTGTATGTGTCGTCTGATGTGTCACTGTGTACGTCATATCAGGGCGCAGGCACCTTGACTTCGTAGTGGACATCACGCTGGGACTGCAGGTCCCCTCCGATCTCACACATGTCGGTGACGTGCCCCTCGTTGAGATGAAAAGTCGTCTGAGGGTTCGCCTTGTCACCGAGCACGAGTTCACACCGAAGCATGAGTGAAGCATAGGTGCTCAAGAGGGTTGTACTGCCCTGCCCGCACACCCGGGGGCCACTTCTGCCGATCCCGATCCCCTACCCGCCCCGGGTGTGAATAACTGCCCGCTCGCGAGGTCTGGAAACTTAGGGTACACGCATATCAGGGCTTGGCGAGAGAAAAAACAAAAAAGAAAAAGGTCTCGGGTGTTTCTGAGATCAGCGTGTTAGTGCCAGTGCGCGCCAGTCCCGTGCCTGTGTCGTGCGAGGGAGTTTGTTGTAAAATTCTGAGATCAGCTTAGGTGAGTGGCAGACAAATTCAAAAAATGGGCGCCGCAGGCGCCCCGGCGCTGCGTGCCCACCATATGGTTGAAAGATCCCTCCCTTGGTTGCAAGAACACAACGCACTCTCTCACATGACAAACAAGCGATCCCACGACAGCGAAATCCCCCCACGCACTAGCACTGACTCGATGTGAGCGCTGTGGGTGTGTAACGTCTGGAATCACTGACATTCCAGCTTGGGAAGCCTCATCAAACAGAGTCATATTAAATTCCTTACTATTCCAGGGAATGTTCCAGAGAATGGGCAAACCTCGCCGGAGGGACCGTCTATATTCGAAAAGAAATTCCAGAAAGTTACAACCAAAGCCTCTCTCGCACACGCACGATTTACACGACAAGCAAGGCGCAGCCAGCCGACGGCTTCCTTAAAAGCCGTCGTCCTCGCCATAGGGATCCCTAGAGGAAGTCGTCCCGAAACACCTGTGTCGAGCCTGTGTGCTGTGAGAGAGAGTTCTTTTGTTTAAATTCTAGAATAACATGCACAGGCCAACCTCGGGCGCGGAAAGCAAAAAAGCCGTACTCCAAGTGCTCCGTCAACTACACTTTCTTCTGGTGCTCAGTGCCGTGCGGCGGCGGTCCGGCAGGCTGCCCCCCAAAAGGCCCCCTGGGCCGCTGCGGTGGTTTGGGATTTAAAGTGAGTCATCTCGCTTAGGCCGACAGAGCTTCGGCGCGATGGCAGCCGCCCCTCTCTGGGGTGTTGCATACTTAGGCGGGGAGTCTGATGTCTATCTCCTAGAGCTGCCTAACGTTAAGAGTTGATCAGTGTTTGTGTTGCTATATAGTGTTAACAGCAACAACAGAAACAACTGCAATGGGATCCGCCACCAACAGTCGTTAACGTTAGGGTAGGCCGGCTGGACAACAAAAGGAGGGTGTGCGTCTGGCAGTTAACCCACGACGATCTCCTAGTGTCCAGTGCCTGCAAATAAAACCGTCCGCCGGGAGCGGGTTATTTTCGGGTTTTATACCCGGGTAGGGGGTGCACAGCGTCCCAATCTAAAATCTGAGGATTCAGGATTGAGGCATCGCTTCAGTGAGGCCAAAGTGAGTTTATGGATGTGTGAGAACGGTTCGGGACACGAGGAAGCACGCGGACCGACTCGTCGGCGACTCTGCTGCACGCCGTTTCAGAATTTTTCTCAGCGTGAGCGAGACGTGGAAGAGTGCCACCGTCGGGTAGGACGGGTCGGCCCGGAGCATCAGAGTAGCCGTCGTGGTCGCGGCGAGCAGCGCCGGCCACTCCGGCGCCGCGTCGGCAACATGGGAGCATGTCCACCGCCACTTCGCGGTCGCAGCGCTGTTGTCGCCCAAAACGCCGCTATGTACCTTTTCGGGCAAACCATCGAGCTGTATGTCGATTTCGACTTGACGGCGGCATGGAGGCATGATGCCTCCATGCCGCCGTCAAGTTGATGCCTCCATGCCGCCGTCAAGTTGGAGCCAGTCTGCGGCGACCACAGCGCTCAGAAAGGTACATTGCGAGCTTTTCAGAGTCAAATTTTTGCGCGAAATCCCACACTGGTGGATTTTGGGGCGCTGTGCACCCCCTAACCCGGGGGGCGGGGGGGCTTGACATTTTCTGCTTGCTGACCGCTGAACAACAGGGACAACAGTAACAAACAGTAACAGCATGGCCCATGGCATGGGCTGGGGTGAACAGTTGAACAACGTTGAGAGACGTTGAGAGAGGATTTCAGGCCCAAGCACAACGAAATTTTGTTGAAGTTGTAAAAAGTTTAGAGGAGGCCGTACCTCCGCTTGAGCTCTGCCTTGTCGGCCGAGCTCCACCGCGTCGCCGGCACGCCGAGCTCCGCCGCGATGAGCGCCTACGCAAGGCGAGAGACAAGCACGTGAGTGACGTTTGGGT